CAAATAAAAAAAATAATTTAAAAAAATAAAGGTTCGGCGTATCAAGTCCTTCCCCTCGCAGCCCCACCAAAAAAAACAACAACAACTTGATGTGGAAGATTAAATGGGAATGTGAGCATATAATATTACTTTCTGGCTTATAAAAGGTGGCAAAAAAAGTTTTTTTTTCACCTTCAAATTCCATAGCTCACAGGCTTAAAAAGAAAAGGTAAAATTTACTTCCAAGCTGTTGAATTCAACATTTACTGACCAAGGATCTTAAAGACCCCAGGGTGCTGTACTGAATAAAGTCCCTATCTTTTTTTTTTTTATTACATTTTATTGATATTTTTTACAGAAGGAAGGGAGAGGGATAGAGAGTTAGAAACATCGATGAGAAACATCGATCAGCTGCCTCCTGCACACTCCCTACTGGGATGTGCCCTCAACCAAGGTACATGCCCTTGACCGGAATCGATCCTGGGACCCTTCAGTCTGCAGGCTGATGCTCTATACACGGAGCCAAACATGTTAGAGCTATGAGTGCCTATCTTAATGCAGCCGTATGCGAGGTGGGGGAAATAGAGAATGAACAAATGTATATAAAACAAAACATAATACAGGGTTGAAACAGGAATTTTAGGGGTAACATAGGACGGGTTTAGGAAATTTTTGAAATGAAGGGGACCATGGAGGAAGCACAGGGCTGCAGAGCAGCAGAAGGTATATTTCCATAGAATAGGGGAAGCGGAGGAGCTGTAACAGGTACATTTCTATTGAGTGAGGGAGCAGGGAACAGCAAATATTTACAAAATAAAGCGCAGGAAGCCCTTCATCCAGAAGGAGAAGAAGAAAGCCCAAAGGGAATAGGAAAAGAGGGAAGGAGTGGGGGGAGAACCTCACATGTCCCACGTGTGCCAGGAGATACTATAGTAACCAGTCTAAGGGAATACTGACCATCAGAGGGGATATCAAGGCACCAGGATCTGCACCCTTTATAAGCCATAGGGAAAAGGAACTCAGTGGGACCCTTCCCCCCTCCCTACATGGGAGTCCATTCTGTGGGACTCTCTATCTCCCCACTTCGGAGTCTACTTATTCTTCAATAAATCTCCACCTTTGCTATACCACTTTCTGTCTGGGCATTCATTCTTCAATTCTGGCAGACAAAGAATCGAGTTCCAGTCCAAAAATTACATTTCAGAGTTAACTGCTATAATGAGATATCATGGATGGTAAGAAGAGCTACCCCTGGAGACAGGGAAAGGTTTGTTGGTTAATTTGGTTTCTACATGGAGATTTAGCTCGGAATTAGATTTAGAATTGATGGTTTGGGATCAAATTCTAGACTTGCACTGAAATCAGGACATGACGTCGAGGTCTACCTAAAAAGACTCTGGCAGTGGGGGCAACAACAACACACAAACTTTAAACCCGAAAGGAAACCTGCAGGTGACATGAGATGAAGGGACCATGGAGCATTAACTCACCAGCTCAGCAACCTCATCAAAGACACTGACCATCACCACCACTTTCTCTCCATTTGTCCATCCCTAGAGCTATGGCTCTATCCCCGGGCCACTTTCTCTCTGTTTGTCCATTCACAGAGCTATGGCTCTATCTTCTGGCCACTTCTCTCCCCAGTTCCAGGAGGGCTGCCTCCCTTCCAGAATTTACACCCAGAAGGGACCCTGTCTAACAGAGTCAAGGAGAACTCTTGTCCTGCCTCACTTTGGGAAGAGGAGAGCAGTTCCCTGAAGTAACCCAGGGGTCTTCCCCTCTCTCTTCATTGGCCAACATTGTATCACATGTTTATTTATAAACCAATCCCTGGACAGCAGACATGCCCCCCCCCCCGGCCATGCTTCGGGCAGTGAAGCTCATTTGTGGTCACATGAGCACAGCAGGTTGTAGAAACGAAATCAAGGTTCTGACAAGTGGCAGAAGGAGTGCATGCTGGGTAGACAACACAAATGTCTATGATGGGTCAACTTGTGGGATCGATGTAGAATTGGATTAAAGATCTGAACTGAGATAACACATGGACTCACACTAAGGAATGAAGCATATTTGGGGGTCAGAGTTAGAAGTGAAGGTCAATTCCATTGTTAGGAATCAGCTGTCTAGTAGTAATCTGACAATGGTTCCAGTGTTACTCAATGCAAATGCCAAAGTCCTACCTGGGTCCTCAATCCTGGTGTCTTCCAAATCCTATGAGGCCTCTGAACCCATCCCCCACTCTTGTCCCTCTGATTCATTCAGCTCCAATAAAAAAGTCTTCCCTGCTAGAACATTCTAGGTCTCCCTCCTCTTCTCACCGGCCCGTCTCTCAGCCCAGGACTCACTGCTCCCCAGTAGCTACATGAATCCATCTACACCTCCTACAAGATTTTGTTCGAATGTCCTCTATACATGGGGTCTTTCCAACCACCATTCACAATATTATAACTGCAGGGATTGTTGACATCCAAGGGAACCAATAATTCCCTATCTCTCCTGTGGTCTAATTTTTTCTCCATAGCACTCACTGCTACGTAATAAACAACCTATAAGTGTGAAGTTCTTATTTCCTTACTTAAGGTCTCCACCCACTGGAATGAGGGGTTTTGTGAC